GGCATGTTCACAGCCGTGTACATTAACCACCCGAAGCTCTCTCGTACTCTCAAACTATACCACAAGGAAAAGCCGGAGCTATTGTTAAACAATATCCTTTGAGTAGCGATGATTTCGATCTGGCTTGGGAAGCGCTTCGGTCTAGATATGAAAACAAACGCATTTTAGTAGACAATCAGGTCAAAACTTTAATGAACTTACCTGCTATTCAATCCGAGAATAGCGAACATGTACAAAGGCTTCAAACAAGTATTAACAACTGTCTGTCTGTCTTACATTCTCAGGACGTTTCAACAGACAGTTGGGATCCTATACTGGTATACATTTGTTCAACAAAATTACCAGAAACAACTCTGTCACTTTGGGAACAGGGGCTCTCATCAAGACGATACCTACCCCAATGGTCTCAATTAGACGATTTTCTAACTTCTCGGTACGAAGTAGTAGAAAGACTGAATAGGCTTCATCCTAATAAGCCAAAAACCAGTGCTCCATACGCTGCTCAGCAAAAACCTTTAATTAGGACACAAAACCTTACGGCAGAACCAATGAAGGCATATTCCTGCCAGGTGTGCAACTCCAACCACCCCCTAAAATTCTGTCGAAAATTCCGAAAAATGTCAGAAAAGAACGTTTTAAGGTTGTACAGAAAAACAACCTATGTAAAAACTGACTTGCTTACAACCATAATGTCAAGGACTGTAAGAGCAAGTTTACATGTGCGAAATGCCAACAAATGCATCATACTCTACTGCACATAGATGTTAAACCACATGCTCAACGTACCAGTAGCCGACCCCACGAAGCTACAGTACAACATGCAACGGCGAAGTCGACAATTCCCGCTCGACAGCCACAAACCAGCTCCAATCCCGACGAGCTACCGTGCTGTTCAAAGCAAGCACGCATACAGTCTTTACACTCAAATATCGGAAGCAAAGTTCGTCCGACAGCCATGGTGGCAGTTGAATATGAAGGAGAATTATTTCAATTACGGGTCCTGATTGACCAAGGATCCCAAAGGACTTTTATTTCCTCGTAAGTCCAGAAAAAATTGAACTTACCGTTCGAACATTCCAGGTTCAAAATTTCAAGCATGGGTGGCCGAGTGGTCGGAAATTCCTCTAAGCTTTGTTCTTTGACGCTGGTTTCTTCCAAAACCAAGCAAAGAATTAAGGCCCATGCAATAGTGTTACCTCAGTTAACAAAGCTTCTTCCGACCTTTACAATGAGTCGTGAAAACTGGCATGAACTGAGCAGTCTCGAGCTAGCTGACCCAAATTGTCACATTCCAGCTCAAATCGATATGGTTACCGGCAGCGATCTTATTCCATAAATTCTAGTGGAAGGGCTGCGAAAAGTTTGAGTCGTGAAAACTGGCATGAACTGAGTAGTCTCGAGCTAGCTGACCCAAATTGTCACATTCCAGCTCAAATCGATATGGTGACCGGAAGCGATCTTATTCCACAAATTCTAGTGGAAGGGCTGCAAAAAGTTTGCGACAATCTTCTTGCGCAAAATACCATATTAGGATGGATAGTTAGTGGTTCGGTGACCGAAAAGGTATCCTCATTTTCCACTCAAATAGAACGAGTTTCCAATGAAATGCTCAGTGCACAACTGAGGCAATTCTGGGAACAGGAGGAAATCCATATACCTTCACAAAGTACGCCTGAAAATTAGGCATGTGAAGATTATTATGTTGCAACAACCACCCGTAATTCATGCGGTCGCTACATTGTCAGGCTTCCATTCGAGGAAACTTTTCCCGATAAACTCACCCTAGGCCATTACCGGTCTGCGGCATTCCAGCAACTCGTTAGCATGGAACGTACGCTTCAGAAGAAAGGTGAGCTAAAGACAATGTACAACGATGTGTTGCAAGAATACATAACGTTGGGCCATATGGAACTCACAACCCCCCGTGAAATCAATTCCCATGGCATCTACCATTCGTTCTATTTGCCACATAATGCGGTTGTAAAACCAGATAAAGTCACGACGAAAGTGCGCATCCAAAACATCAAGTTCTGGTAATTCCCTAAATGATGTTTTACATACAGGTCCCTCACTCCAGCCGGACCTCATGTTGCTAATTTTACAATGGCGCATGTACAGATATGTATTCAATGGAGACAATGAAAAAATGTATCGACAAATTCTCATCCATGAGGACGATAAAGATTATCAGCGAATTTTGTTTCGCGAATCAGAGAATTCCCCCATCCCTGATTATAATCTTAACACAGTATCATTCGGGGTTAATTGTGCGCCATATCTCGCTATCCATACTCTGCATCAATTGGGAGAAGATACAACAGAGAAATTTCCACTGGCCACACCAATACTCAAAACCCAAACGTATGTTGATGATGTCCTGTCCGGAAGTCATGATATTGACAATGCCATCGATTCACTCTTCCAAGTGATCAAAGCGCTAAAGTCAGCTGGCTTTATTCTCAAAAAATTAACGGCCAACAATCCGGCCATGTTGGAAAAATTTCCGAAAGAAGACCTTCTCGACTCCAATTTCTTGAAATTCGATGGAACGCATTAACGGACAGGTTCTCATACACCATCCTGCCAATTTCAGCGACTACAGCTGCAACAAAACGGCAAATTTTGTCATCGGTCGCAAAACTTTTTGACCCGGCAGGATGGCTATCGCCAGTTATGATACGAGCAAAGATTCTGTTTCAAGAACTTTGGCTCGATGGCATTGATTGGGATGAATGCGCAAAACCCACTTCAATGGTAAAATGGCAACAGTTTACTCAAAACTTGCCAGCCATTTTTGACATCGATGGCTCAATTTTACTCCGGGGCAGAATACCCAAATCCATGGGTTCTGCGATGCTTCGGAAAAAGCCTTCTGCGCAACCATATATGTGCGCACAGAAACATATACTCATGCAACATCCACCCTACTGGTTGCAAAAAGCAAAGTTGCACCTTTGAAAATGATAAGTCTTCCTCGCTTAGAGCTGTGCGGAGCAGTCCTGTTAGCAAAACTGATTGCAACTGTTCAAAACCAGCTAGGCTTAAAAGCGTGCAAAACATTTTTATAGTCAGACTCTGAAATAGTACTGGCATGGCTCGAAAAACCACCGTGCACATGGAAGACATACGTGTCTAATCGCACCTCCCAAATTCGGGAATATATCCCAAGCGGAGTATGGCGCCATGTAACAGGCGAAGACAATCCCGCTGATCTCGGCACACGTGGTTGTAAGCCCCAAAACTTAGCCACCAATTCGTTCTGGTGGCACGGACCAAAGTGGCTCATACACCACATGGAATCTTGGCTTAATTTAAAGGCAAGCAGTTCCTCTCCGCCAGGATAGCGAAAAATCGAGGCCTTTCTTGCGCTCGAAGAAGAGCCCGATTTTCTCGATTGATTCTCTTCACTCTCTCGAGCAATTCACGTGACTGCATATATGTTCCGTTTCGTAAAAAATATCCACAATAAGTCAAAAATGCAGCCGATAACTACCATGCCACATCTGACTCATGCTGAATGCCAATTCGCAAAGCAGCGTCTAATCGAAGTGTCGCAATCTCGCTATTTTCCTGGTGAAATAGATGCGTTACAAAAGAAAAAGCCAATTGACAAAAAAAGTTCACTCCTCAACCTAAATCCATTTCTGGATAAAAACGGACTTCTCCGCGTCAATGGCAGACTAGCGCATGCCACACTCAGCTATAATGAGCGGCACCCAATCATCATCCCAAATGCATCAAGATTTTGTCAATTACATTTGAAGTTCTTGCACGCACTGCTTCCCCATGCAGAAACGCGCCTCATCCTTCAAATGGTCAGGCAAGAATACTTCATACCGAAGCTAAAGCCTTTGATAAAAAAATCCATTTTTCAATGCAAAGCTTGCACACTATACAAGCAACAAACGCACTCCCAGCTGATGGCCGCTCTACCCCCTGAGCGATGCACTATGTCCCTAGCATTTTCTGTAACTGGAGTGGACTTCGCAGGACCGTTTTTAATAAAGGCCTAAGTTTTAAGATCCACTACACTCATCAAAGGGTACGTTGCCGTATTCGTTTGTTTCGCGACGAAGGCAGTGCATCTTGAGTTATGCTCCACTGAGGCATTTAGAGCAGCATTCGCCCGATTTGTGGGCAGGCGAGGATATCCCGCCAAAATGATGAGCGATAATGGAAAAACATTCATCGGAGCACAGAGAGCAACTGAACGCGAATTCGTCGAATTCAGCAGACATTACCCAGAAGTATGCTCCCCAAGGCATCAATTGGCAATATATACCACCCAACTCACTTCAAAAAAACCGCTGCATCCCAAATTCACATTTGAAGAATTCACAACACTCTTAATTCGAATTAAGGCTGTACTCAATTCCCGGCCACTTTTGGCATTATCACAGGACCCAGCTGACTTCACAGCATTGACTCCGGGTCATTTCATTCGAGGCGCTCCGCTATTAGCCATTCCCGAGCCGAATGCAGAAACTTTCTCGTTAATTAACCGATAGGAGAAAGTCGAAGCACTTCACCATCAATTCAGTCGCCGCTGGAAAGAGGAGTACCTCAAAGATCTCCAAAAGAAGTATAAGTGGAAATTTCCACAGAAGGAGCCTTAAGTTGGCGACTGCTCCGTTATCCGAGACGACGGTCTACCGCCGACCGAGTGGCGTCTCGGAATAATCCAAAATCTTGATCGTGGGCCTGATAATCACATCCGTGTCGTGGACCTCCACACGCAAAACGGGATTATCACGCGGCCCTTAGTAAAACTGTGCTTCATTCCGAATGAGCAACCTCCGCTCGAAGCACATCAATAAAAAGAAAATCCCCCTCTTAATCCTATACGCTTAATGTCGTAATGTCAACTACCGATTGTTCCGAGTTTATAAAACTTGTCTCGAAACAATTAAGGTCATGTCTGAAGTCGAGGTTTATTTATTGTTTGGTAAAACACAGCTTCAAAGATGAATACAATTTTAATATTATTAAAATGATTTAGGGTGGAATGTATATTTTCCAAGTTTTGGATTCATACGCTGTTAGCGGCTTTTGTTTGCTTTGGCTAATATTTTTTGAATGTATATCGATATCGTGGTTCTATGGCGTTGACCGTTTTTATGATGGTATAAAAGATATGATCGGCTATTATCCAATGGTTTGGTGGAAGTTCTGTTGGTGTGTTACGACTCCGCTTATTTGCTTGGTAAAAAATAGAGTTTATAAATAATTAATAAAGTTCAAGACATACTTTTTTAATATTAATATTTACAGGGCGTGTTCTTCTTTAACATAGTTCAATGGAAACCAATTAAGTATTTAGATTATAACTATCCATGGTGGGCACATGCTTTTGGTTGGTTCACAGCATTGTCGTCGATGCTTTATATACCAGCTTATATGTTTTGGCTTTGGAAGAAAACACCCGGAGATACAGGCGAGGTAAGTGGATTAACTCAATACTATTCTCTGTTTTGGAAAAGAGCATTAACGGATAGAATTAAACGAAATCATCTGAATCAATAATTCTTTTTTAGATGAGTTGGTTTGAGTGGGCATGTGAAGAATGGTTAGTGCCTTACGGAGACTCTCCACATGTAGGGCATACGTTGGGTATACTGGGGTCTAGTCTCGATAAGTAGGAGCTTAGCCTGCTACAGTATCCAGACCTTAGTTGTGTCGGGGTCACGCGGGTCTCCAGAGGCAGCTCGAGCTCGTTGTCTGCGGTAGCATCCCAATAGGAACTGCTTGCACAGCAAAGCATTATGCTCCTTAACTCATGGCATAGATGCTTTGCTGTGCAAGTGATGCTCCGGTGACATCAGGAGGTTTCCTATCGCAAAAGTTTCTTTGTCTTTACCCCAGTTGCTGCCGGCTAGCGCTTTGAAAATTTTGCTGCGGCTTTGCAGTTTTGCGGCAAATGCGGTCGTATGCGGAATGAAAGAGGGCAGGCTGTCTAGAGTTACTCCCAATATGTTTGGGTTATTTATCGTCGGAATTTTTGTGTCATCGGATTTTCGCAATTCACGACGACCCTGCGGAATAAATGGTGACGTCTGATGGAGTGGGAAGAGCACTAAAGGCGTTCTCAGTGAATTCCGTGAAGCCGGGCCAGTTAGCTTTTTTGATGTTAACAAACATCCGGTGATCCGCGGAAACAAACTCGGGAGGCCTGTCAATCGATATTGGTATTGGCAAATGGTCCGATGTTAGTGTCAGTATAGGTCGCCCGACTATACTGTTTATCAGACCAGCACTCCCAATTGTTATATCCGCCGAGCTTTGGCAATTACCCATAACTCTGGTTATTTGCATTGTGCAGAATGTCGAATCGTCACGATACTGCGCGGTGTTGCGCAGGACGGTCAACTTCGTTTCCTGAATCGCAGCAATTGACAGGTGCTCCCGGCTCATGTAGGTGGTGCGCACGCCAGAGTACGTCTGAAAATTACACCAGCCAGAGCAAGAGTTGCATCTGTTGCGGTCATGTTCCGACGCACTATGGTCTGACACACGGAACAGTCTGTGCGGGGGGCCAAGAGCTGCTGGGTAGCGCTCGCACGGGAGAAAGATGAGGAGCTGGTTGTGAGTAGGGATGGGAATGGAGGTTGGTCGGAGACATGCTGCGGGAGCCCCGTGAGACCATAGAGGTCTGTTGATTATCCAAAGTGGGTAAAGCTGCTGATGGCACTGCCATAGAGTCTGGGGGCGTTTGATCGCTGGCAGCACAGGGCCACATAACTAGTAGTCTACTCCCTGTGGGTCTTAAGGCCTGAGCAGGTCTTAAGGTGACTCCACCCATTGCACTGGGTGCACCTAACCGAGGAGGAGCAGTGGTGGAGGCTTTTATGATACACGCGGTAGAAATAGTTCATCGGAACAGGGTTGGTTGCGACACTAGCCCTGATAAGAAGGACTTGGAGCAACCCATCTGAAAGGTGTTGCTCCGTTGCCGAACTAAGACTAATGTTACCTATTGACCTGAACGGGGTTTGGTCGCCAACAGAGTGACAGCCCCTGGTCGGGTAAAAGCCGGGTCAACTCCGGTACATGGAACCGGCTGTCTTGAGAGTTGGTTTAACAATGTAATCCATCATTATTAAATTTTTCCTCATTGAATGTCAATCTTCATTTCTTAAATGTTGCTCAAATCGAGTTTTTTGAGCTTAGTCTCAGGAAATACAACAGACAAAATGATGGAGCTAATAATAATTAAAATAAACAAATGTCACGAACTTGAGACAATTATGATCTCACCAACAACAATAAGAAAAATCTTCCGAATAATTAGGAGATTTTATGGTGGTCAAAAGATAAAATATATATTAATTATATAGTATGCTCTGACGTCCTACAGGATTATGACCCGGCCTTTTGAGAAACTTCTTAATATCGTTCACCACTTTGTCTGTTATTCCTTATAGCCGCCGACATACGTTAGTGTCAGAATTTCCAGTGTGTTGTTTGTGTCAAGAGCTATTGCTACTCTTCCTATGATCTGCTTGTATACTGATAAGTCTCGGGGACAGTTTTTCTCAAGAGTTTACCACTTCTTGAAGGGAAATTTCTTTCAGATGAAAGGAAACTACTGGTTATTAGTTATCCTTACTATCTAAGGAAATGTATAGCTAAGTGGGTACTATTCTCTTAAGAAAAATCACATCTGCTAAGGAACGGAAATGAGCTTGCTTGTCCTTCTTCATTTTAACCGCCATTATAGAATTTATGCTATGAAGTCATAGCATATTAAAAAAGATATTTATATTTCCTTTCTCTTTGTTCATCGTCCCTTCGTGACTATAGCAACTGCTTGCGATCGCTTTGTAGTTAAACGAATACGAAATTATCTTGCATTGATTTAAGTAATTTTAATAAAATTACATCGGCTTACTCTTTCAAGCGTATTACAAATTAGTACTATTTGCAAATCAAGTAATTTTCTTTTTTTTAGCAAAAATTTAACCAATGATCGCATATCATATGTACATATGTAAGAATATGTTTTTTCTTGCATACTAAATCATAACGGCTGAAGCTACCCTTACGGAAAGCTACGTATTCGCAATTTTCCCTCAATAATATGTATAAAAAATGTGATCTCTTGTTGAAAATTTTACTGGATTGTTGCCTCAACGAACGCGGCCAACAACTTGCCAAACAGAACTTATATCTTTTCCATAAGCCATGCCATCAGATTTTACTATTTCGTTGTTATGTAATCTTCCAATAAGACTTTCATTAAATTTGTCATAATTCTGTTTTCAGAAAGTCCGAGCGATCATTCGAATAGATGAAGATATAAAGCATCTCAGAGATAAAATGCAACAACAGACAACTAAAAACGTGGAGCTTTATACTCTTTAGAGTAAATTCATTACAACCTAGGTTAAGAAACATATATCCATTTTTTTCATTTTAACTAAATAGTGATTCCAGGAAAGCTTTTAGAGATGCATTATATAAATACTTGTCCAAAATTATCTAGAANGGCAGCACAGGGCCACATAACTAGTGGTCTACTCCCTGTGGGTCTTAAGGCCTGAGCAGGTCTTAAGGTGACTCCACCCATTGCACTGGGTGCACCTAACCGAGGAGGAGCAGTGGTGGAGGCTTTTATGATACACGCGGTAGAAATAGTTCATCGGAACAGGGTTGGTTGCGACACTAGCCCTGATAAGAAGGACTTGGAGCAACCCATCTGAAAGGTGTTGCTCCGTTGCCGAACTAAGACTAATGTTACCTATTGACCTGAACGGGGTTTGGTCGCCGACAGAGTGACAGCCCCTGGTCGGGTAAAAGCCGGGTCAACTCCGGTACATAGAACCGGCTGTCTTGAGAGTTGGTTTAACAATGTAATCCATCATTATTAAATTTTTCCTCATTGAATGTCAATCTTCATTTCTTAAATGTTGCTCAAATCGAGTTTTTTGAGCTTAGTCTCAGGAAATACAACAGACAAAATGATGGAGCTAATAATAATTAAAATAAACAAATGTCACGAACTTGAGACAATTATGATCTCACCAACAACAATAAGAAAAATCTTCCGAATAATTAGGAGATTTTATGGTGATCAAAAGATAAAATATATGTTAATTATATAGTATGCTCTGACGTCCTACAGGATTATGACCCGGCCTTTTGAGAAACTTCTTAATATCGTTCACCACTTTGTCTGTTATTCCTTATAGCCGCCGACATACGTTAGTGTCAGAATTTCCAGTGTGTTGTTTGTGTCAAGAGCTATTGCTACTCTTCCTATGATCTGCTTGTATACTGATAAGTCTCGGGGACAGTTTTTCTCAAGAGTTTACCACTTCTTGAAGGGAAATTTCTTTCAGATGAAAGGAAACTACTGGTTATTAGTTATCCTTACTATCTAAGGAAATGTATAGCTAAGTGGGTACTATTCTCTTAAGAAAAATCACATCTGCTAAGGAACGGAAATGAGCTTGCTTGTCCTTCTTCATTTTAACCGCCATTATAGAATTTATGCTATGAAGTCATAGCATATTAAAAAAGATATTTATATTTCCTTTCTCTTTGTTCATCGTCCCTTCGTGACTATAGCAACTGCTTGCGATCGCTTTGTAGTTAAACGAATACGAAATTATCTTGCATTGATTTAAGTAATTTTAATAAAATTACATCGGCTTACTCTTTCAAGCGTATTACAAATTAGTACTATTTGCAAATCAAGTAATTTTCTTTTTTTTAGCAAAAATTTAACCAATGATCGCATATCATATGTACATATGTAAGAATATGTTTTTTCTTGCATACTAAATCATAACGGCTGAAGCTACCCTTACGGAAAGCTACGTATTCGCAATTTTCCCTCAATAATATGTATAAAAAATGTGATCTCTTGTTGAAAATTTTACTGGATTGTTGCCTCAACGAACGCGGCCAACAACTTGCCAAACAGAACTTATATCTTTTCCATAAGCCATGCCATCAGATTTTACTATTTCGTTGTTATGTAATCTTCCAATAAGACTTTCATTAAATTTGTCATAATTCTGTTTTCAGAAAGTCCGAGCGATCATTCGAATAGATGAAGATATAAAGCATCTCAGAGATAAAATGCAACAACAGACAACTAAAAACGTGGAGCTTTATACTCTTTAGAGTAAATTCATTACAACCTAGGTTAAGAAACATATATCCATTTTTTTCATTTTAACTAAATAGTGATTCCAGGAAAGCTTTTAGAGATGCATTATATAAATACTTGTCCAAAATTGTCTAGAATTTTAAGCATTAGAAATTTGCCCAAAAGTCTTAAAATGTAACTTTAACTAGAAGTGATAGGGAATGAATTATTTATAATTTAAGATAGAATTACAGTTACGGCAGGCATGTATAGTAAGTTTATAATTATTTTAGGCTAGTATATATTATATTATATATAGTTTATATAGCGGGTTTTTCCATTTTGGGGGACGCACACTTGTTCCTGGGCTACAACATTTTAAGTGATAGTTTATTATTATTATTATTATTATTATTATTTATTTGAAATATAATTATAAATAATTACATTACAAGATTAAGGCAACTAGCAACGGAGGCTATCCGCCTGAGTTATGTATAAGTAAAAGTTATTAAAAGGGTACAATATATCCTTAAAATAAAATAAAGTTATATACAATGTAAATGTTTGATGCAAAGTTTACAAGGTTTTTGACCATCTCTTTGTTATTGTATTATAGGTTAAACGAAAAAAAAACTATACTGAAGATAAGAATAATATTATCTCACATCATATTAAATTTGTTGTAAAAGTTTACATTGATAAATATATTTGTAAATAGTTTCTATGTTTTCTAAGATACATTTTTTAGCAGATCTGCAGATCTGTACGAAATATATTAAACATAACATTACGGTGTTTTGGTCGAAATTCGAGAATATGATTTATGGACAGTGAACATTTGCACTCTAAGCAGATTGGGCTGGGTTCACGTTTCAGAAGATGTTTGTGGGTAATTTTTGTGTGCCCTTATCTTAGTCCAGTAAAAATTTTTAGTTAATCCGTCGTTGAACTTGCAGGAAAGACTGGTTTGCAGCAATTCTGGTTATACAGCTTGTAGATATGATCGTGGGTCTGCCAGTTGGACATTGTTAATCCTCTCATGTAGACGTTTACTTGTCGAATGATGTCTGATTTAACGAACGATCCAAAGCATATGGATGGCGATTTGTAGACTTCTTTTGCTGCGAAATCAGCGTGCTCGTTTCCTCTTATGCCGCAAATAACCTTAATTTTTGAGAAGTATTTTATTAACATGTCTCTGGAGTGTTCAACTAGTGGCTCTTCGTTCCGAAGATTTTGAAGTGATTTGATGGATGGCATGCTATTAGTGCATATAACATACTTTCCTTTGTTTGCGACTGCATGCTTGATAGCGACATTTATGGCAGTTAACTCAGCTGCAAAGACTGAGTTATATGAGAATAAAAGTCCCTTGGTAATTATGTTTCCTTCTTCTGTGACTACAGCGAAAGACGAGGAATGCGAAATTTTCGATCCATCTGTGAAAATTAGTTTCCAACCGTCTTTTTTTAACTGATCTCTAATATCGAGAAAAGTTTCTTTGTAGATTATAGAATGTGTGCTCTGTTTAGGGTAAGCAAGAAGTTTCGTAATAAAAACTGTATTTGGTAATTTCCAGGGTGGGACGAGGTTGGCCCTTTTAAAGTCGGCTTATAAAAAATATCAATCTCTTTTGCCTGTTGTAGGGCATTGAATATAGCAGATGGTCTTTTCATCACACGTTTTTTTGTAATAACGTTTTTACTTCTTTATGTAAGATCGAGTTCTTTGTAAGATAAAGTTTAGGTATTAGACGAGGAGTACTTTGGTTGAAACGTTCATCTATTGAAGGGAGGCCAAACTCAGCTAATAAGTTCTTGATCGGTGTTGTTGGAAATGCTCGCAGACTTCTTCGAATCGCTGTGTGATAGGGTGTAACTAGTCTTGTTGGGGTTTTAGCGCACTGTCCATAAATAGATAAACCGTATTCAATAACTCCTAATATTAAAGATCTAGTAACATTAATTAAAGACTCAGTATGTATTCTACTATTCTTAGAAGTGAAGTCATTAGACAAGTTTTTTCAGCCAGTTTTGCTTCACGCCTTAAAGATGCGTTTGCCTTTTTATAATTTAAAAGGGTAAGCTCCGTTCTTTGATTTTTATATTTGGTCCACAGTTTTTGCTTTTCATACCTGAGGTAAGCATTTTTTGGTTCCACCAAGGAACCGTGGGCCTTGGAAAGGTGGTCTTTGTTTGAGGTATGCTAAGATGAACTGAAGATATTATTATTTTTTTTCAGGTTGCTGCTTCTTTATTTATGTTTAAGCCAACAGGCAATTCAGATGATAATTTTTCGCAACAGGCTTGCAACTTGGACCAGTTGGCACGTTCGGGAATGAATCGAGGCCTTCTTTTGACATTTTCGGTCTGTGTATTAGATGCAATCTCTGTTAGGATTGGAAAATTGTCACTTCCATGTAAATCTTTAAAAGCAGTCCATATACATTTTGGAGCAAGGCTTGCGGATGATAATGTTCTGTCCACGTTAGTAAGAGGTTTGTGGGTGGAGAAATGCGTAGGAGAGTTGTCATTTAAAACCAAGAGATTAGAGGAAAGAATAACATCTTCTATAATTTTGCCTCTTGGATTCACTACTTAACTTAATGATACTGTTGGGTGATGTTAACGCTAGTTAACATCACCTAGCAGTATCATGGGAATGGTAATATTATGGAAAGTAGATAAAATGTCTTGAGCTTGGAAGTTCTGGTCTGGAGGAATATAAATGGCTTTTAATGACATTTTAAAGCCTATGTTCATTTCCAGTGCAATACTTGCTATATTTGACGCAGTATTAATTCGTTTGTGAGGTATATTATCTTATCAATACACATATACCCTGTTTACATGAGACGTTTTGCTCTAGGTTATGAAAGTAACCTTAATAAACTTTAGGTGAGTAAGGTGTCGTGTTCGTTAGAATATGAGTTTCCTGTAAACAAACTATTAAAAGATTGAGGTTTTTTAATAAAAATAAAGCTCCTGGAAGTTGTTCCAGTACCCCTTTATATTCTACTGTAACATAAATGTCATGAGAAAGAATTTAAGAAAAAAGTATTTTTGTCATTAAATGATTTAAATTGCAGTTCTTGTTTTATACAGTGATACTCTTACGATTTTTCTTCTGATCCCATTGCAGCATCGGTGAAGTCTCTGAGAGTTCTATTATAATTGTTGAGGTTAATTTCAAAGTTGTCATTCGTTGTTGAAAAATTATTAGATGAGATGGAAGAGTTTTGCATATGTGCAAGAGAAGTGGGATCTAGTTGTTTTTGAGTGAAACTTTCGCTTAGCTCAGTTGGGTCTGGTAAGTATTGTTGTATTAAGTTGCTAATGTCTTCGTGGTGAGTTATAATTATCTGTTGATTGGAT